GGATTTGGTGTCCTCAACTTGGTATACACCAAGATGGTGGTGCCAATATCGGCGTGTGGCGTCACCTGACACCACGCATGCATGGCGTCATGTAACGTCATGCTCCCTGCCTCCAAGATGGTGGCACGCATTCAGAGAACACTCTAGTGGCCAACATGGCAGCCGCACATTCTCAAACAAATTATTATTATGTGTCTGAATACATTTCTCGTATATTCGGACATATAGTAATTCATTAATTTACATGTAGCCCGGGGTCTGTGTTCTGTTTTTTATTTTTACTTTTCTAGATGCACTTACTTGAAAAAAGGGGTCTGCATGACATCCTGACACTTTATTTTTATAGACTCTATTGTAGTTTGACATTTATTGTTTACCTTCTGTTGTTTTATTTGATAAGAATACTTCTATTGTGCCTACAAGTTTAATACCTTTGAATAAAAGTTTTATTTTTATCACACTTTTTAATATGTTTCTTTGCGGCTTAAAAAAATAGGAGTCTTTAAATGGTGCATATATTGGGGGAAATGGGTGTGGTTACGGGGGCGTGGCCACTAAAGGGTGTGGCCACTGAGGGGCGCTGTAAAGCTTTCTCGCACAGGGCGCCTAAAGGCCTAAGGCCGGCCCTGCTGATGGAGACAGACGCACCACTGTTACCTAGAATAGGAAGCTTGCTAGGACTACCACAAGAAAGCAATCCATGCCCCCTCTGGTGGTCAGAAGAAGCATTACATCATTTTAAAACAACACTAATCGGATCTAAGATGTGAGCTTGTTTGATGTAAAAACAAAAATGTTGCATGTTCTCTGACATAACTCATGCTTTGATGTCTGTGATCTGGGCTTAGTTCCATGAGCTGTAACAAAGAAACATAAAGAAGGAACAATGCATTAGCAGTAACTGGACAATAGAATCCCACCATTTCAAATGTCTCTCTCTTGGGAAACATTGATGAAAACTGTCTTATTTTTGCAGTTGCTAATCTGTAGCTTCTTTCTTTTCAAAGAGAAACTCTGGTCAGAAATGTTAGGAGTTAACGTGCTAGAGTTAAGTGCTCATTTTTGCCTAAGGTCCGAAAAAAAGAGTTATACTCACGCGACCCTCAGAGCCTGCAGCACTCCTCAGCTACAGCAATGGTATGTCCCTCAGCGTCCTCACATCCTATACACTGTATTGGATGTGATGACTTCAGGATTCTTAGACCGCTGTAGAGGAGGGGGAGAAATGCTTTCGAGACCGGTCTAAGAGCCAGCCAGCTAGGAGGTTTAGGTAAGTTTAACTTTTTTTTGCCCTATGCAAACATGAGCAGTCAACCCTTGCAGTACGGTGGTAGTCCCACTGCAAGGGTTAATACAATTTCTCCCCGGAGTTCCTCTTAAAGACAAGTTAGGGAGATAATTATTCTCTGTATTATATTTGCCCAATAATAGAAATGAGCCACAAATGTGTTCTTCGACGCTTCTAAGTTCAGTGACAGTTCCCAGGTTAATATAATTGCACTCACTGCTACATCCAGGCAGGAATGTAACAGTTTTAAAATGTGGTAGCCCCCACAGAGGCAAGGATTCTTTAATTTCTGATTTACACACTTAGAGATTTAGCTTAACAATTTAAAGATAGCTTTAATGAAAAGAAAAGAAAAGCAATGCAATAAACTATTTACAGAAAAAATATTAAAAACAGACAATAGCAACAGTAAAATAAACAGGATTAAAAGTGAAAAGTACTTGCAAAGTTTGCCAGGTCTTTGTTCCATGCAAAGTAAGTTCAGTTTGATATCAGAGTCTCATGAACAACTCTTAACATTTCTTCATAGTTCTGATGGTATTGGTTGTTGCTGAGCTGCAGGTCCAGCCGTTATTTCTGGTGCCTAGAGAGGGCATTTACAGAATTAACATAACCAATTCAAGGGTCTAAGAGGAGTGCTGAATGGGTGTTGAAGTGTTTTATGATGCTCCCTTAATGCCAGTTTAAAATCAAATGCATCTACAGTATACAGGTGAAACTCGAATAATTAGAATATCGTGCAAAGTTCATTTATTTCACTAATGCAACTTAAAAGGTGAAACTAATATATGAGATAGACTCATTACATGCAAAGCAAGATAATTCAAGCCGTGATTTGTCATAATTGTGATGATTATGGCTTACAGCTCATGAAAACCCCAAGAACCCCAAATCCACAACCTCAAAAAAGTAGATTATTACATGCAATCAATAAAACAAGGATTGTACATAGAACAATATCGGACCTCTGAAAAGTACAAGCATGCATATGTACTCAGTACTTGGTTTGGGCCCCTTTTGCAGCACTTACTGCAATTACTTTTGCACGATATTCTAATTATTTGAGTTTCACCTGTATTTCGATCTGACAAGGTTTTGAACTCTGAAAATTCACATATTATTTAACAGTATGAAATTACAGTTTGTCAGACATCAAATATAATAGATTCACAGGTATGTTTCTCCTAGGAGGTCCAATGTCCCCCATCAGTCTCCTGGACCTAGTAATATTGACATGTTTGGCCTCTGTTTGTTAGTTTCTTATACTTTAGCATAATTACTTTTTATGAATCCATTTCCATCATAGCAAGAATTATGGAAACTCTATGAAACTAAACTCTGTGTACTTAAAAAAAAAAAAAGAAGACTTTGGCTTAATTGCGTTTCAGGACATTCTGCTAATGGAGTTTAATGGCACCTGCCTGTGTCATGTCAAAGATACTTTAACTAGAATGTTTTAAATTGATCTATGATGACCTCTCCTCAGCCCAAGGGGAGAAACATATGGGGATCTATGCCACCATCCAAGAGGAAGAAAAAGCACACCTTTCTTCATCTCATTGGGGGTGCCTTGTTCCACTGGTCTGCAGGCATAGGTGAAGGAGGAACACTTAATGGCTGTCTGCCCTCCAAAAAAGTGGCCTTAGTTTAGCTTGTTGCTTCAACAGGCAAAGCTGCCGTTCATGTGTGGCACATTTATTCTCACTAAAGGTTGACTCCAAAGCACCCCCTAGCTCATTGCTCCAATTCCCATAGCTCCCATTACATTTATATAGTTTGGTGCCCTTATTCTACTGCACTTGCCTTTATTCTAATGGCAAAGCTTTGAGAAGAAGCTGACTGGTTGCCATGCACAGTTGCATCAGATTCTGTCTGCTCCAGTCTTATTAAATTCTTCTTTATGTAACCAACTTCAGTTGAGTTTCGTTGAATTGGAGAATAGTATTTCACAGAAAAAAAGAAAACAATTGTCTATTGCAACAGTGTGATGCATTTTGTAATCAATTGAATAGAACTTGCTTTGTAAATGATCTCTGTGAATCAAATATTGACTTCCAGATACACCTGCATTATAATTTTTATAAAGGGTCGTCTTCTTTCTTATTGTCTGCTCTTTTTTCAGTTCTATGTTTGCCTGAAAATGGTCTTAAAACGAAGCTAACTTGAACTTCTTCCTGAGTTTGCTTGCTTGTCTTTCCAGTTCCATGTTTTTCAGGAAATGGTTTAAAAATTGACATGTTTGGCTTTTTTAATTACCTTTTTCTTACCTCTTCAGACAGCTGAGCCCTAGAATGTTGTCCTTATTCATTGTCTCCATATCTTCTGCAGTGCATTGGTTCTGGTCTGAAGTCTGCAGTGTGTTGGTTCTGGTCTGAGGTCTACAGTGCATTGATTCTGGTCTGAGGTCTACAGTGCGTTGATTCTGATCTGAGGTCTACCGTGTGTTGCTTCTGGTCTCAGGTCTGCCATGCGTTGATTCTGGTCTGAGGTCTACAGTTCGTTGGTTCTGGTCTGAGGATTGCAGTGTGTTGCTTCTGGTCTGTGGTCTGTCGTGCGTTGATTCTGGTCTGAGGTCTCCAGTGGGTTAGTTCTTGTCTGAGGTCTGCCATGCCTGTGTTCTGGCTTGAGGTGTGCCGTGCGTTGGTTCTGTTCTGAAGTCTGCAGTGCGTTGGTTCTGTTCTGAAGTCTGCAGTGCGTTGGTTCTGGTCTGAGGTCTGCAGCGTGTTGGTTCTGGTCTGAGGTCTGCAGTGTGTTGGTTCTGGTCTGAGGTCTACAGTGCGTTGGTTCTCCTCTGAGGTCTGCCGTGCGTTGGTTCTGGTCTGAGGTCTACAGTGCGTTGGTTCTCGTCAGAGGTTTACAGTGCGTTTGTTCCGGTCAGAGGTCTGCCATGCGGTGATTCTGGTCTGAGGTCTGCCATGCGGTGATTCTGGTCTGAGGTCTACAGTGCGTTGGTCCTGGTCTGGGGTCTACAGTGCGTTGGTTCTGGTCTGAGGTCTGCAGTGCGTTGATTTGTACAGAAATAATTTCTAAACTGTAGAGGATCTTCAGGGGTGGGTAAACTCTGGCTCTCTAACTGTGGTTTAGCTACAATTCACCAGGATGCTTTGCAAGACTCTTGCATAGGCATGACTCCCACAGCCAGATGCATGATAGGATTTGTAGTTTTACCACAGCTAGAGGGATGAAATTTACCCCCCACTTGTCATAATGCATTGGGTGGATTTTAACATATCAAAATAAGATGAATGGGCGGTCCCTGGTCGCAACCAGTTGCGACGGGTTACTGCACTTTACGTATTTAAAATTATTTAAGTATAGTAGCAGTGAACAGTGAAGGAAGAGGTATGCAGGGGATGCAAGAATGTGTATGCGAGTGGGGCTTGTATATGGGCAGAGCACAAGGGGGCCCCATAATCTCGTATTGCCCAGGGGCCCCATATGTTGTCAGTCCGCCACTGGTCAATACACTTCAGCAGAAGCAGCCTCTCACAGAGTTTATTGACAAAAATACTTGTCAATTCTAAAAGAAGCCAATTCATTGATTTGAACAGCAATTTTGTTTCCAATGTCCTGCAACACATGACTATGACCTGATTCTTCTGAAAACAATGTATTTCTCATGACTGCATGTTAACCTCCCCCCACAAGTTCAATCATGCATACACGCATTTTTAAGTTTCAGTAGCTTTTACTTTCACTTCTGTCTCCTGCAATGGCGTCTCCTGATCTGAGAGCTGAGCTGGAATGTTCTGTCTGTCTGAACTTTTACACAGATGCCGTAACTCTGAGATGTGGACACAACTACTGCCGGGTGTGTATTGATTGTGTTCTGGATACACAGGAGGGGTGCGGAGGTTTTTCCTGTCCGGAATGTAGAGAGAGGTTTAAGGCTCGGCCTGCACTGCAGAGGAACATAAAACTATGTAACATAGTGGAGAATTTCCTGTCCGCTCAGCCAGATCTGGAGGAGTCCCGGGTCTTTTGTACTTATTGTGTGGACTCTCCTGTACCTGCTGTTAAGTCCTGTCTGCTGTGTGAAGCTTCTCTGTGTGATAAACACCTAAAAGTTCACAATAAGTCACCAGAACACGTCTTATGTGACCCCACCACTTCCCTGGAGAACAGGAAATGTTCCATCCATAAGGAAACCTTTAAATATTACTGCATTGAGGACTCCACCTGTATCTGTGTGTCCTGCTGTCTGATCGGAGAACACAAAGGACATGAGATGGTGTCACTAGAGGAGGCCTCTGAGAAAAGAAAGAAAAAATTGAAAAATGTTCTACGGAAAATAATAACAGAAAGAGAGAAGACGGAGAAAAAAGTCCGGAGTTTCAGGGAACACGGGAGAAAAGTGCAAGAACAAGCAGATGGGGAAACTAGGAGAGCCACTGCCCTGTTCATAGAGCTGAGGAGACGTCTGGAAGATCTGGAGAAGAGAGTTCTGAGCAATATCTCCGGGCAGAAAGCGCAGATCTCATCATCCCTGTCTGATCTAATTCAACTGCTGGAAACAAAGAAGGACGAGCTGTCCACGAAGATGCGTCACATTGAGGAGCTGTGTAACATGACGGATCCATTGACTGTCCTACATAAATCGGGCACAGATGACTTGTGTGATACTGAGGAGGAAGATAATGAGGACAGAGAGAGAGATGATACACTCCTCAATGATGGAAAGGATCTGGATGTGTTTCGGCTCTCACACACATTACACACAGGTTTATCTGATATAATAACATGGATTAATGAAGGGATCCATATACCAGAACCTGCAGACATATCACTGGATGTAAACACCGCTTCTAATAATTTCCAAATATCAGATGATAGGAAAGTTGCATCCTGGTCAGAAAATAGCCAGAATCGCCCAGAAACACCAGAAAGATTTAATGACTGTGCTCAGGTGATAAGCTGTCAGAGATTCTCCTCAGGGCGACATTACTGGGATGTGAATGTTGGGCGATCACGTAGATGGCGAATCGGGGTGTGTTACCCCAGTATGGACAGGAGAGGCGAGCAGTCACGGATTGGAAATAATAATAAGTCCTGGGTAATAGGAGTACAATCTGATTTATTTTCTAGTTTCAAACGGATGTTTGAAAAGCGTTTTGGTAAGATGTTAGTGATACATGACAGTAAAAAGATCCCATTACCTGCTGAAATATCCACTGAGAGAGTCAGGATATATCTGGATTATGAGGCCGGGCGGATCTCCTTATATGATCTGTCTGACCCGATCCGACACCTCCACACCTTCACCGCCACCTTCACCGAGCCCCTTCATGCGGCTTTATCAGTAGATTATGGCTGTATAAAGATATCTGGGGGGGATATTGGGAGATGTGAGAAATCCACTCAGAGGTTGGTGACCTCATAGGGAGGGGGCATCTGATTGGTAGATAGGCAGCGGGCAGGGGTTGATTTATGAAATCGGGAAAAATGTAGCCAATTTGTGATTTTAAATAGCATACAGAATGTGATTGGTTGCCATAGACGTCTATCTATCTATCTATCTATCTATCTATCTATCTATCTATCTATCTATCTATCTATGTAATAAAATATAGAACACATATGTCAGAAGTACAATACAATGACAGTTGTCACAGCCCACAGCTGTTTGCAGGCCGTTCACAGGTAATCGCACATTCTATGAATACCCACAGAGGATCGCACCTGAATGCAAACAGTCTGCGTCCAGGCATGGTCATCCATATATGATCGCAACTTGTGCAATCACATGCAAATTGCCTGTAAACAGTTGTGGGTGGTGGCAGCTGTCATTGTATTGTAGACTGCCTCTTGTCTATGGCAGCAGTGGCGTAACTATAGCCATAGCAGTCCAGGCAGCTGCTATGGGGGCTGGGGGTAGATGGGGGACCCCATTAGGTTGTTGAGACAAATTAAACATAGAACATGTTAAGTTAACATAGTTGATGACAACCCTAACCCTAAAGTCTACAGTGTAGGAAAGCTGATGTTAAATGGACAAGAGGAATCTTTGGGAACTTACATATTTGGGAGTCATTACTCACAGCTCAGAGAGAGATCCGTCAGCACCCCCACCATCACATATTTGCTATGGGGGCCCCGTGATCTTTAGTTACACTCCTGCATGACAGATTGCAGGGGTTTCACGGAAGAATTCATGAGACTTGTGCTATAGGCCCTATTCCTAAACCTGATGTTGTTGTGATTTCTTATGTTAATACAAAGTTATAAACACTGATACAGAAGTGAATGTATAAACTGAATTATTAAAGCAAAAATGTGATATGTCATCATTATACAGTAATACAGGCAGGCAGTGGATTTAAGGTGGAGTGTGTGCTGGCAGGCAGTGTATATGTTATATATTTTTGTCTACTGATTTCATAGAAAATAAAAAATTGTTGTAAAATGACACCAAAAGAAAGGTTTGTTCACGGAAAAAAAAAACAACCATATGCTTTACTTTGTTATTTTAAGCATTGACAAATTTATTGCTGAATCAATAGGCACATGATGCTTAATACTCAATGATAGCCCATCATTGAGTATTAAGCTGCGAGAAATGAATTGGTTATTGATGCACATATACAAAAAATAAGTTATTGCGTGGCCATCTGTATATGTCAGTCAGGGGCTGCACTTAAAGTGAAAATAGGGATAGCACCTACTTTAAATCTGTTACATGCTCCCAATCACATAGCATCATTTAAAAAAAAAAAATCTAACTTGCAGCTTTCCTTTTTTTTAGGTGCTCTTTCTGCAAACTCCAAGACTGGGAAATCCTGTTTAGGGGATTAGGTGGAGTTTTGTTTCAAATAATTAACCCTGTCTGTACTGTGCTGGCAGATTTCATTCTTACTTGTAAACTAGATGAGCGGGACCAGGGCCGGATTTACTCTTCCCCAGGAGGGGGGGAGAGCACCCCTCTGAAATGATGGCAGATAGCACTGGAAGCAATAGCTTCTTTGCTATCTGCTGTTTTTTTTTTTAGTATTCTGACAGCTGCTGCCGTCAGAAGAAAAAAATGTAAAAAACAGCATAGGAATGATTAGCTAGATTGCTTTTTTGGCTAGTTCAATTTGCAATATCCAATAGCAAGCTGGCTATTGCACCCACCCTCTGCTGCTGTAAATCACTAGAAGAGGACCTGATTGAGAACTACAGCAGCAGTGGGCGGGTGCCAATAGCAATCTAGCTATGCATTCCTATGCTGTTTTTTTCTCTCTCTGACTGACAGCCGGCGGCTCCGATGTCAGGAAAAAAAAAATACAGATCGCAGGAAAAGGTTTACTCTGCAAGATAGATATTACTCTCCCGGGTGGCCGGGAGCCGCTATCTAATAGCGGGAGACTCCCGGAGCGTCCGGGAGAGTTGGGATGTCTGAAATAGAGATATCTAAAAGGTTAAGCTGGCCATACACCTATAGATTGTCTGCAGACTTTCTATGGTCAGATGGAAAAAGTGAAACAGATTCCTCCATCTACGCTAAACTGTGTGGATGGGGGAATCTCCCACCGGGCCAAGCTTCAGTATCTTGCTAGTCGACCCCGCTGGCTCTCAAAACACCTGAACAATGCCTGCATCCAATCAGATTGTTCAGGTATTTTGACAGCCAGCGGGGCCGACTAGCAACATACTGAAGCCCAGTGGGAGAATCCTCCCTCCACACAGTTTAGCGTGGATGAAGGAATCTGTTGCACTTTTTCCATCTAACCATAGAAAATCTGCAGATAATCTATAGGTGTATGGCCAGCTTAAGAAATATATTATTTAAAATTATTTTTCGGTATGCTGTGTGAATAGGAACACATAAAAAATACAGTAGGGGGTTTGCTTAATTTTGGTTGCAAAAGTGGAAATGCCCTTTAATTTGTAAGTTATTCCCCCACTGCATCATTACCTCTACAACATGCATGAGGATTAGAATTTGGTGTTCTGAGCATGAATCCTTTAGAATGAGGGGTAATAGCCAGTCCAATGTATGAATATGTGGCTGACAAATAAGGTGGAATATAAAGATGCCATTGAGTCAACATGAAGCAACATTCCTTAGTAATAGTTCCAGCACCTTGCGAAATGCACAGTGGGAAGAATACAGGCTGTTCTGAAGACTAAAGGGGGTCCAACCTGGTGCTATATTGAGGTATGTAACAAAGTGCCCACTGAGAGTCCTTCACACTATATGCAGTGACTGGTACTTTTCAGCATCTAGTTGAACCATGAAATAAAGACACAGGGATCACACTAAAAAAAAAGTCCAGTTTACTTTTCAGCACATGTAAATATGAACATGTTTTGTGTGTACACCAGTTATTCAATTATTTTCCCTTATAGTTGTGCTGCTACTGGCGAGGTAAACACATTCAAATAATTAGTGAGTTTAACTTACTATTAGCAGTACAGCCATGAGTGAAAAAATGTAACTGTAACTAACACTAAAGCGTGCTATTGTTCACTGGCACTCGGTTGTACCATGGTTTCAAAAATGGCACTTGGTGTGTAAAAGGTTGCTGACCCCTGATCTAGACAATGCCAGTCACCGCTAGGAAACATTGTGCTATATGCGCCCCGTTCACACCACTACGTGGGACATGCTGCATTTTTTCAAAGCACAGTCAACCGCACCACAGGTGCAGCAGAGAGGCAGGTGTAAATGGGCCCTTAGTCCCCTTTCACACCTAGGAGTTCCATGAACGTGCACCAAACACGGTAAAAGACACATACGTTCACAGAACAGGTCAATAACGTACAACGCACTTGAGGCGCCATTACTAGTTAATGGCACCCCAAACGTGCGTTTTCCCCCAGAAAAGATAAAAACACACATGGAACAAACACAGGATGCCTGTAGCAGAATCTGCTACATTAACTACTTTCCTGCGTTTGTCCGGGCATGCAGGAACTTATTGAAATCAATGGGTGACGTGCAGCAAACGCAAGGAAACAAACATGCGTACATGATGCGCATTCCCGCTACACTGTGGTATAAACAGGGACTAAGAGTATAAAACATTCATCCAATAGCTGGAGTTGCTGACTATTGCTGGCTGGATTCTTCCTGTAGATGTCAGTATTGCCTATTAAATTAGTCACAGGATACTCTAGACCAGTGGTTCTCAACCTGTGTATCCTCAGGACTCACATTTGCCCTCGGACATTAAGTCGCGACCCAAGTCACACTGCAATGGAACGCAAAGCATTGTGGTACTGTGCTTTCCGGTGCAGGCGATCGAACTGTGGGCGGGAAGTGCGTTTGGGGTGCCATTCAAATGAATGGCAATACAACGTATCTCCCAAACCAGAATGCACGGTAGGTGCGATTGCATTGTGCAGTGCATTAATTGCATGGAACTGTGCGATTAACGCACTGTGCTAGTGTGAACGGGCCCTCAAAAACACTGACAGACACACACAACCACAGACATCATTTTTTTTTTTAAGATCCACCCATTCTCCCTACCTTACGAAACCAGGAGTGGATCCTCCGCCTGGGGTCTAGTGTGGGTTGCCGTGCTGTGATGGAGCCCCATCCATATGTGTATTGCTTGTACAGCTCTCATGCGTGCCCGTAGGGGTGCCTGGAACCAGAATGTGATGTCATTCCAGGGCATGCAAGGGGGCTGTAAGCAATGCACGTATGGTTGGAGCTCCCTCGCTGCCATAGCCCCAGCCCACCCCACCCCACCCCACCTCAAGTCAACACTCGGCGCCGGGCAGCATATTTTGAATGGCTGCTTGGTGTGAGAACTGACAGTGCAAGGCTAGGGGGAGGCTGAGGAGCCTCTCGCCTAGAAAAGTGGAAGGCATGTGGCGACCTACTTTTGGGTCACGACCCACCAGTTGACAACCACGGTCTACCAATACTTTTTTTTGTATATCATGTGACAGTATTTATAAAACAATACAGACTAATAATTTTAGGAGAGTAGTGGAGTGCCAGAGTCCAGTTGCAGCTGCAACTCTGGTAGTTCTGCCACTGATTCCAAGCTGTAGAGGAACTACAAATCCCAGTAGTACATTATATAGCAATGCGAAATACCAGCAGCTATGGAGGACTACAAATCCCAGCAATACATTATACTGCAATGCAGAATAACAGCTCCAACTGCCGAGTACTACAATCTCACATTATACAGCAAAACAGAATCTTACTCTCAGCAATAGAGGACTACAATTCCTACAAAATGGGTAGAATCAGCTCAGTACAGAGGGTTCCATCCTCTATCATCCATCAAATTGGATGCTCAGATTCAAGGTACAGATTGGGCAATCAGATTGTAAGTTAAAGATCCAAAGGTCCAATTTGATTGCCCACTCTGATTGGACCAATCTGATTGTACAATCAGACTGTCCATTTAGATTGGACACTCAGATTGCAAGGTACAG